TTATAATCTTCACCGATTGTGAAGTTCTTGAGGATATCATAACTGTTTTTAACACTATTTAACAGCTGCTTTGTAATGTTCATTCGCCGCGGAATCACTTTTCGTACTAAGAGTCTCGCGTTATATACCAATTAAGGAAAAAATGAGGAATCATTTTTGTAATGGTGATTCGACAATATCCTAAATTAATTTTTTTTAATTTTAACCCGAAGAAAGGGTATATTAAGTTTGTTAGAAGGTTTGTAATACCCAGAGAGAAACGTATATGCCCCTATAAATTATATAGGTATACAAAAGATAAGTGTGACGTGTTGAGTCGAGTTTGCCATGTCCGTGTGTATATAAACGAACTAGACCCTTCACTTTTTGAGATATTGATCTGAAATTTTTTACACAACGTTTTCTCTCCTAAGTGCTGCTCATTTATCGCAATCGCTGATATCGGACTACTATAGCATATAGCTGCCATACAAGCTGTCCGATAAAAATCAAATATTTGTATGGAAAACTATTTTGTTTGACAAGATATCGTGATGGAATATATATATATATATATATAATGATATAAATTATTATTCAAGACAGTCCTGCAATCTCCAAACTTATTATGCAGATCGGACCATTATAGCATATAGCTGCCATACAAACTGACCTATCACTGAGCTAATCAAGTTAAATATCTTTATATACGCGTTAATGCTAACCCTTAATTACACCTGTGAAGGGTATCAAAGCTTCCGTGCAGCCAGAGCTAACGCGCGTTCCCTTTCGGTTTCTCTGAAAGGATTTCTTTTTCACTCAATTGGTCTCGTATTTGTTAGATAATTGCGTGACGGAGAACGTGAAACTCTTTAATAGCCTATTTTACTAAAAAAATAATACTGACATCATTAAGCAAAAATCTGAAATAAAATTTTGCCTTTCACTGATGCAAATCTTCTCAGTCAAATTCATTTCGCGTAAGATTTTCAAACAGATAATTAAAAAGTATTTTTTCATGACACAAAAGCCGCGAAAATATTGAAAAAGTGGTGAACGTTTAATGTTTCTGGCTTTACTGATATGATACAGAGGCGCAGCGTGCATTTGTACGACCGACTATTGACTACGATTGTTGTGGCACAACAACACGCACACATATGGCACAGTGCTACTTGTGCGCATGTGAAAAGTATTGTTGGTCAGTGAAGTGGCAAGGCACAGTTAGTGGCAACAATAGCAAGCAAAACAATTGCTGCTGTTCGTGCAACATGCATATGTGTGTGTGTGTGTGTGTGTGTGTGTGGAAAAAGTGTCACAAAGATTTCTTGCTGATAAGCAGCCGCTTTTTATGCATTCGCTGCTATAACTGTGCGCCTTGCCTTGTGGCATATACACTTGACTCGCAGTAGCTGCCACAACAGCAGTATATATGCATGCAACAAGAACACACCGTACAACATGATTTCTGCTAAACGCCTCGACTTTTGCATAATTTATGCATGTTTACAGTGACAACAACAACAACAACAAACATGTAAAGCGGTTAAGCAGTCAACAGCAACAACAACAGCAGCAGCAGAAATAACAATGTCTGCTTATGTTAACGTGCATATTTGTTGCATGCAACAAGCGCCATCTGAAACACGCTGCCAATGCGGCAATCGATCTTTGTCCAGCTGCTTGTTGCAACGACTTCGTGCCGCTTTTTTATCTCCGTCTTTGCAGCTACTTTCCTATGCTAACACGGCGCTCTCACCACATACCAGCCGTGTTGTGGCATGCCGTTAGCCGCGGAAAAAATACAAAAAGTGTAAAACGAAACTTTTTTTCTGTCAGCTTGGTCGCATAAAATTTAAATAAAATTGAATTTCATAAACACGCGTGGCAGGCGGCGGCTAGTAGTGGCTTTTTAAATGCCGAGGAGTTGCAAAGCACTCAAAAACAACTGCAACAACTACAAGTCATTATGCATAAACGCTTACGGAGTACAGCGTTTTTACAATACTCTCGAACACTTGCCACAAACCCGCTTGCCAAATGATTTCCCGTTTAACTTTTTATTTACCAATAGAACTTTTTTCTCGCCTATTTTTGTGTGTTTGTGTGCCTCAGAAAGTTGTCATGTCTTCATTTCACACACTTTGTGCAAATTTATTTTAATTTTTCCGCATTTTTTGCACAAATGTCTTGCTTATCTTGAGAATTCCATGTCACGCGATAAAGTGGCGTTAGGAGCCGATTGCACTGCAACTGCACGAAGCAGTCGGCAAATGTAACGGCTATGCTACTGTTCAACTTATAAGCGAAAAGTTGCTCAACAACAGATTTAGATGATTTTTTTTCGCTTTTAACAGTTTTGTGCAAATATTTTTGGCAGCTGTTGTTGCAGATTTCTATATATTAAAAGCAATTGTACGCAATTAGTGACGTCATCATTACGAGATTTTGATTAAATTTGAGAAATTACTCGAGAAAGTGAAGTCGAGTTTATATGAGCAAGAAATAGGTGCTGCCGAAATTGATTGTAGCAAATTAGAATTTTCAAGAGTTATTCTCTAAAAGCTGCCCATTTATTGGAATCGTTGATATCATATCACTATAGCATATAGCTGCCATACAAACCGACCTATCAAAATCTAGTTAAAGATTTTTTTTATACTCTTTTACGCTATTAAAAATACAGCTATGAAGATATGTATTTTAGTTTCGGTGCAGCGGAAGTTAACGATACTTTTAGATATTTTTATATCTAAACTATCGAAATGTTATAAAATTTCGATTTTTTTCAAATTATAGACTACTTTTTAAGTGATATTTAAACAATTTTAAATTTATTTTCTATTAGAAATAAATTCACCAAATAATTGAGTTCAAAAAGGTAATGACAATAATTTCAATGTATTTTTTCTTTAATTTTTTAATATTTGGCAACCCTATTATGAAAACCATAGAAAAATTCACTGTATTCTACATGTTTCTTAGATCATCAGTACTGTTGTATTAAAAAAAGTTATATCAAAATATATAGGTTTATAATTTTATTAAATGCATTTGTTGTCAATTTGTTTTTCATGGCGACCTTTCTTAATAAATCGAGCCAAGGCTACAAAGTGCCTTTCAAAATCTTCAAATTTGTTGAGCTGAAATGAAGATACAGAGCCATAGAAGTATTGTAGACTTTACAGTTTGTCCGCTTTAACATTTCTATTCAAGTGTTGCATTCATTTCAAGCTGGTATTTTATAACCAGCAACAAGTTCATGAAATAAATTAGTGATTAATTGGCTGCAAGAGCCCGTATTTTCTTTACCCGAGCCATTTAAGTCACTGCGGTAATTTGTTGAATTAAATAAGGTGTATATAACTTTAGGTCCTACCTGTCTTTGCTAAAAATGCTCTAGAAATTTAAGTTGTCAACTAACAAAGGTAAGCTTGAAAAGAAATATAAAATATCCGCCAAGTTTTTGTTTAAATATATTTAAGCATGCAACAACAGTCAGTGCTGCATATAAAATGTCAAAAGCACACATCCCACAACAAAAGGCACAAGTGTTACAGATGCCGCTTGTACTTTTGTGGCAAGCTCAAGAATTTATAAAAGAAATCACAGCTGACGCATGTTTATTTACTTGTAACGCCAGCGATGCGTTGCTGTCGTATCGTATTGAACCGTTTATTGGGGCATGAAGCGCAAATATTTGCAACAGTTGCAGCGGCAACAACAACATTGAGCACTTGCTGCATACTCTTGCATGTATGAATATAATATGTTGATAGCAAATAAGTGCAAAAAGCAATATAAATACAACGATCTGCAGCAATATACTGTTACAGCAAATACAAAAGCAAAAAAACACATGCGGCAACAACAAAAATTGTTGCTTAATAGCGCAAAGTTTGCAACGAAAATGGACGATAAATGAAAAACTTAACACTTTTTACCAATCAAGCGCGGCCATTCATGACTTCACTGTGCAAACTTATATAAGCATACATATGCATACATGTAGTTATGACAAGCTGGTTGCACACACAAACATACATACGCGCACACGCACATATGTATTTGCAGACAATTTCTGCCTGGCATTGATTTATAGAAAGCGGCTTGTGGGTGGCGTGCAAAAAATTACTTCATTATAAAGTCATTAAGCGGCAAATTACACACATTCACCGCCACACAAGCATATCTCTACATGTGTGCGTGTGTGTGTGTATGCAAATGCAAGCATTATCGCCGCTCATCCAAAGCTGCGGCAATTCGGACGGCGTTGCCATGCTCTTTGTGAAAATTACAATTTTTGTTGTTGTAAAAACAAAATGCATAAACATTACAACGGTTCAGGCCGTAGCGTATAAATTGCGAACAGAAATTTAATTTCAGTTGCAATCAGAATTTTTCACGTTGAATATATTTTCAATAAAAAGTGCAATTCGCACAACTGCACATATACATACATACATACACACATAATCAAAAACAAAATATTGCTGGCATATATTTCTGTAAATATTTCACAGTTATTTTATCATATACACATAGCAAAGCGATATACAACGACTGAGCGCCGTAAAGTATGCTATAAATTTACTTATGCGACTAATGTGCTGTGAGTGGTCGCACGCTGTGTGCGTGAGTTCGCCGTTATTGCGGTCGAATTAAGAACTGAGGCTGGGCAGTTAATTTGCACAGCGTTGCCATAATTGAAAACTTCATTTATTTGCTGCAGAAAACAACAAAATTTAAATAGCACAAATACATGTAGCTTACATACAGACAACGTGCACACATTCACATTATATTTATGCGAATATAACGGTAGATGTTTACGCACATAACAGCTATATAATGGTATATACATATATACGCATATAAATGTATATGTATTTAAAACACTTTTTATAACTCTCTCAGCTTTATTTCCCAATATACTCTTTAAATTCTACTCACCATTTCAAGTGTGACCGCAATTTTTCATTGTCTTTATGTGTTGTGTTTTATTTTTTTTTTTGTTGCAGGTTGTCGAATTAATTGATGCCGCAGCAATTAATTCCACCGCCGTACGTTTGGACTGGGTGATGCATGTCAGTGTGACGGAGAAATATGTGGAGGTAAGCGCTCTCTTTGTGTGACTTCACAAATACGTACATATACACATTTATACACATATACCAACATATATAGAGTTGCATTTCATTAAAAGTATTTATACGCTCTTAATAGCATAATTAAAGTGTTTACTTGACTTGCTCATTAATTGTTCGCTCGTCAATTGCACGACTTTACGCTTATTCTCTTTTACTCTTCCACTCTTTGCCACAGGGTCTTTACATTCGTTATCGCGATATAAGCGCCAATTCACAGCAATATAATATTTTGACTGTGCTGAATCCTTCGATCGAATCGCATGTTGTCGGCAACTTGAAGGAATATACGAAATATGAATTCTTCTTGGCACCATTCTATCAGACGCTGGAGGGTCAGCCAAGCAATTCGAAAATTGTGCAAACTTACGAAGATGGTGAGTAGAGTGTGTGGTGTTATACGTGGTAGTATATTGTAGTAATATAATATGTTATGATATTTGAATATTAGTTAAAACTAAAAGTTAGTCTTACTCAGAGTTGTGAATTTTAATTAAAAAATTATAGTTTGGAATTAAAAAATTTTGATTTAAATTTCGGATTAGAAATTTGAAAATTATTTTTATAATAAAGATTTTTTGGATTACAAAGTTAAAAAAAAAATAATTTAAATACTATTAATTATACAATAATAAATTATTTTGTAATGCTTTATTTGCGACTTTGCACATACTACAGCTAAAGGCTTGTGAGTTCATAATTTAGCGTACAAAAAATAAAAAGTTGTATTTAGTATCTTGAACTTTAGAGAGCGTTTTGAAATTTTTCATACAATACTAGACATACTAGTCGACATATAGATGGCGCCACTAGATTTTACTTTATTACTTTTTTACTGTTTACTTTGGAACGCACCTTGTAGTTATACATAAACATCAGAAGATATTAGCGATCAGAGAAGTGGCTAATCGAAGACGCCTAAAATTAGTATGGCAACGTGACTAAGAATTAACAATATTGGGGCTTACGCGACTCGGTATGATTAGTGCCTAACTCTCGACGAACCGTCTGAACTCAAAGAAGATTGACAATATTTAACCTCTGGCTATATTTCTATCAAATACAAGGCTCTAATATAATATCTAAAGCCTTTGGGATAGCTAAAGACTTGAAGTTCTCACTACTTAGCAGAAAAAATGAATACCCATACTTCAAATAATAGAAGAAGACTTGCTCAACCCCAAGTAAAGTTGTAAGTAACAATTTGACTATTCACTAAAGTCGCCTGCTTTCTATGTATTGGTGCAGAACAAAATTTTGCATATTAAGGCAGTCATCACGAGTCAAAGACGGCTCTTTGAAAAAAAAAAACAAATTCCAAAAATACTGCCCTGATTTGTTTCGTATTGATATCGTTGTTAAAATGACTAAGTGATCTTTTTGCTGATGTGCGTATTTATATACTTATAAAACTTATGAACTTAGCCATTGAATAAAAATCTTTATTATCACTTTCTTCATAATCCAATTTTTCAAACACTTGCTATAAGCCTTGGCTGGAATAACTAAAAACACCAGCGAATTTTTTTTATTTGTTTCGTTTTGGGTAGTTTTTGGAGTGTCATTCGCTCTATTGTTGGATAGTTTCGCCGTCATATTCATTAACCCACGTCTCGCCACCAATAACGATTCATTTGATTAATATAGGATTCTATCAATCATATTATTTGCGACCTTTACTCGACGACATAGTTTTTGCAAAAGCTGCAGGTCTTTTGGTGCAAGTTTAGCCTTGACAAAAAATGTGTTTAGTCGATCCATAAGAGATATTGAGATCCTCTGCTATTGCTCTGATGAAACATTACAATTTTCGAGCTCTGTTGCTTGAACTTTTACGATGCTGTCCTCATTAACAGATGTGGATGGAGATGACTTACATGAGGCAAGTTTTCGATGACTTTATGACCTTCACTGAATGCTTTGTGTCACTAAAATAATTTTGTTTTCCACAAAGTGGACTCCCTAAAACACTTCTGTAACATTAATAATGAATTCGTGGTCATGTGATTCCATTGGAAACACAAAATTTCAAGTAAACTTATTGTTGAATTTTTTCATAATAAAAATCGCCAAACAATCTTTTCGCGGCGTATGCAAATATGCTCTCAAACACCTACTTATTGACATTTTAAGATCAAGTTTCACGCACGAACATAGAAAAAGGTTGTAACAATCTAAGAAAATAATGAATTGATTTACTAGACGCTCGCAGTTTGAATGGACCAGTTTAAGACTAGTCTACTAAGAGACCAGGCCTCTTCAAATTGATAGCAAAAATATTGGAAATATTTGAAAATGCTTAATATGTGGAAAAATTAATATGAGTTTTATACACTCATGTGAAAAAAATAAAGTTGGAAGTTGTTTACAGTTTGTTGAAAATTGTATATTTACTTGCATCATTTAAAAACATGAACACCTCTGCTCTATAAACTCCACTGAAAAGTGGTAATAAATTTACAAATAATCAATAATATATACAACAGTGTTGTTGTATTTCTAGTTACGCGCAAAACAAATATTTATTTAGGGATCATGTCTACAGCATAAACTCTGATACTAAACTCGCCATAAGCACTAAAATATCAAATAATATTAGCAGTGAATATAACACAAGCAGAAATTTATAGACAACAACAATGCTAATAAATCAATTTGAAACAAAAAACATAATATGCGGAAATAAAATATGTTAAACTTTGCAGATATTTGCTGAAAAAACTCAGGCTTAATACATATAATCAAAGCGCATAAAAGTATTTGCAAAGCATAAAATTAATTTTTTTTTGTGAGCAGACGCTTAATGCTAACGCAATTCTACCCAAAACGGGGAAATATAGTAAAACTTTAATTTCAAATATTTAACTAGTCAAAAATTTCGCCAAAACATGCTTGTGAATGCTGCTTTCATAAAAACTATAAAGCAAATACAATGACATGCAAATAAATACAGAAATACGGGTGCAAAACCAAAACACAAACAAACACACAGTGCAGAAAAAGTAAAGCTTACGAACGGAAATGCTTTTGGAAAAATAATCATGCATGCAAGCGTATGTGTGTGCGGGCGGACATGTGTTGGTGCACGTGCGAGGCCAATAACCGCAACCACACACACGCACTTTTGCACGCTGGCAAACACCGGCAGCACAAGCAGTATACACACATACATACATACATTTTTGCATATTGCATTTTCCACCAGCAGTTTTTCCCGTGAAACACCAATTTTTTCGGTTGACTCACTTTTTCTACGCTATGCTGGTACTCGCTGTTACTTCACAGCGGCCCCTACACATATGCAACAACATTTTGCAGTCAAGCTTTTCATTATTAACAAGTTCGATGTGCTTACTGCCAGAGCTGCCATTTTATGAGTACACAGGCAGACTCTTAACTGCACATGTGTATATGCATACATAATATATAAATGGTGTTTTTTCGGAGGTATAAGAATATTTTTTAAGCTATTGCATGAAATTAAAAAAAAAAGGCAGCAGAAAATGTGGACTGGTCAATATTTTGCTTTGATTAGTTTGCAAATTTTATAAAATTTATGGATTGAATAGAGCAAGAATCCTTGACTTGACCGAATGCCACAAAATATATTGCTCAAATAACAATCACATGACTTGTCACTCTTGAAGAGTTTCGTTCGCCAAAAATTCGCCTTAATCAAGTAGAACTAGACAGCTTCGTCTTTACATATATGTTTTTTTACTCACGAATTAACTTTTGTGTCGTTTTTGTTTTTTTTTTGCTTATAAATTCGCAAAACCTGTAATGCGCATAATAATTTTATTAAAAAACTTGTTCTCTGTTGGTTTCTAGCATCGATTATGAGTTTTAGAAAGCAATTTCGACAATTTTCAAATGATACTTCTAGTCACGTGAACTTAAAGTTCAATATATTGACAGCTGGTTTAACATCTGTCAACTTAAGAAATTTTGTGTTGCTAACAAAAACACCCTATAAACAGTAGTTATATTTGCTAGCGTGTATTAAAAACTTTTTCAAACTTTACGCTCTTCACTTGTGTTCATTACAGTGCCCTCTGCTCCGCCGGACAACATTCAAATTGGTATGTACAACCTGACAGCCGGTTGGGTGCGTTGGTCACCGCCGCCGCCGCAGCATCACAACGGCAACTTGTTGGGCTATAAAATCGAGGTAAGTGGCGGTGTATTTAAAAACTCTGTTTCCACCTATATACAATTATATGCTCCTATAAATATTTGATTTTTTGTTTTCGTGTTTTTTATTTTTGTTCTCGCATTTTTGCTTTTTTTATTATTATGTATATTATTTTTTTTTTCTCGAGTACGCTCACCAATGTAAATGTAATTTTGTGGCTGAGCGAGTGTATAAAGTTTATGAAAATTTAATTTGAAAACTTTTTTCTACACCATAGACATACATAACGGTATATTGTGTTTCTATGATGCGGGTATTTTCTATTGAAATTTCAATATGCAGGCGAAAAAAATGCGATGAAAATATTAAATTCTGCAAATTAAATTTTCATGATATTCAAATATTAAAGGATTTTGCGCTTTTTGACTGTTGACATTAGTTTTGTAAAGTGAGTAAGAAGAGCTTTTTGTTTGCACTGAAAATTGTTTCTAATTAATTGCGTGAAATTGACAAACCAATCAATATATGCAGTTTTAAGGCTTCTTAATCAAATAGGACGGGAATAAAAATTTATTGAAAAATTACATTAAAAATCTCTAAACCAATTACAATTTTTTTTAATTTAATTTAAAATAGTAAGTAAGGAATAATATATTTTAGTGCTTAATTTTTAAGGGGCAAAACTAGTGTGTCAGCCTAAAAACAGGCCAAATTTTGGGAATATGGGAAAATACATTTTTCTAATATTTTGAGGGTATATTTTAAGATTACTTAATGAACTGTAAATAATTAAATTGCCATTAAATATTTTTCGAGTTGGCTCCGCAGGGGCTAAAATATAAACGTCCTCTACTGTTTAACTGATTCCGGCCTTCTCCGTGGATGAAAACTTGAAAGATAAAAATTCTATTGAAGATATTTTGCATACAATGACTTAAAGTCGAAAATAATTAAAAATTGACAAATGGCAAAAAGTTAAGTTTTACCAAAATTTTTTGATTGTTTTCGATTCGATTTTCGATTTTTGATCAGACCAAACAACTATATACAGAACATGCAAAAAAAATTTGTAGTCATTAGATCTTTGCATCACCTCCGAGTAATCACCGCAGCAAATTCGAAAAAGGCAGTTTAGAGAAAAAACCGTTTAAAGATAAACTGATAGAGCTGACTGAACTGACCGGCTACAGTCTAGATGGCTATAACTCAGAAAATATAGCAAATATTCATTCAAAATTTTGATAAGTTATCTTTGAATGTATAGACTATCGATATAAGTAGGTGTGCCAAGAAAAATTAAAATGCAGAATTACAAAAAATTAGACCTTAAATGGTTATATTTCATAAAACTTTCAACCAAAATTACACTAATTAAATTTTCATTTTCAGTTAGACAAATTTTTTACTAAATTAAAAATAAACTCTACTAATAACTAATAAACTAATATTTCGATATAAGAAACAGCACATAATTGGTTATGTTACTAACTAACATCTAGTTCTTAGACGTAATTATATTTTTTAATTTAATTAAAATGTTTAAGAAAAAAAAAAGGTGATCATTTATGAAATTGTGAAAAAAATTATTTTTTATCTATTACTTTATATATTTTCTACTCAAGCCTTCTAAGTAATAATACTTTACTCACTTACATTTGTTTTAAACTTAAACAAAAACCTCCTTTATATCTTTTTCGAAATAGGTCACAGCTGGCACTACGCTCAAGGTATTGGCCAATATGACCTTGAATGCAACAACAACTTCCGTGCTACTCAATAATCTTACCACTGGCGCTACATACAATGTGAGACTGAACTCCTACACGAAAGCGGGTGAAGGACCATACGCGGAACCGGTAAGTCCAACGATCATAATAAAACCCTTAAAAAATATATATATAATATAATATATATATAAAAATAGTGTTGCAATGTGCTAACGAACATGTACGAGTAAGTACCGAAAAAAAAGATATTGTATAGTTTGGAGCAGAAAGAAGTGATTGTAGCTAAATTTTGACAAATTCAGCTGTTTTTACAAGTATGACGAAACTTGAGCGTGAATCCGACACATATTAGTATGCAATAGTGCGGTTGCATATATTAATACATACATATTAAACAATTTTAAAATATAATTTGTAAAACCTATGTTGATGGCAGCATTACTTCACAAATTTAAACTACAATTTTCTAACTCCACTCTCTCTCTTTCTCTCTGTCTCTTTTACATTCTCCTTAGGTCTCACTATTTATGGATCCTACACACTTGGTGCATCCGCCACGTGCACATCCTAGCGGCTCGCATAGCGGCATAGCCGGCAGTCACGGTCATCCAGCTGGTGCTGGTGTCGACGGTGGTCATTATGCTTATCATCCAGCTGGCATGCCGGACGATGCCGCCACCACCACTACACATCATAAATCAACGAATGTTGTACATCAAACTTGGTTTATGGTTTTGGTGATAGTCTTTCTGTTGGTCATATTCTCTGTCACGGTCGGTGTAATGGTATTCTTTAAACGACGTCACAAGCTCACCAAGGAGCTGGGACATTTAAGTGGTGAGTAGCGAAGATTTAAATACATTTTTGTTTTTCAATTGTTTTTAAACAGGAATGACATTATATACTTTTCTTTTATATTTTCAAGCGTAAATATATATTTTTCGATTGACAAGCTTGCTTGCAGCAATCAATTTGTTATGAGAAAGCAAAAAAAAATAAATATTCGCTTGCTGCTTCCTTCATATTTTTCTCTCATTAATTCGTCAAAGTTCATTACCGCAAAAATCGTGTACAACAAAGCTGTTGCAACATGTATTATATACATACATACTTATGGTATGTGTCCTTCTCGCGCACAGCAATTAATTAAAATTTGTTCGGTTTGCGCGAAATTCCTCTTACATTATTACAAAATTAATTGCTGCCACATCTTCACTCATTTGCATTCACAATTGCGTAAAATTCCATTTTATACTTCGCTTCATGCAAAAATATGTATAGCTGTATATAATATATATAGATATGTATATAAAATTAACGAGTCACCAAAAATTGTCTCCACTGCCATTTTTAAGCACCAAATTTGCATGTCTTTCACTTTGTCCACTCACTTTTATGTCTTTCTGTACTGCAGTAGTCAGCGCCAACGAAATCACCGCACTCAACATTAACGGCAAGGACAGCCTGTGGATTGACCGTGGCTGGCGCACCACCGACACCGACAAGGACTCCGGCTTGAGCGAAACGAAACTGCTATCGAATGCGAATAGTCAATCGAATTATACGTCAGATGGTGGCACCGACTATGCCGAAGTGGACACGCGCAACATGAGCACCTTCTACAACTGCCGCAAGGTAAGTGTGAGCGAAAGTAAAAAAGCTGAAGTAATTTTAAATTATTTTTGTTAAAAGTGAAAATATGCAATTGCCATTCATTACTGCATTTACATTTGCTGCTTCTTGCTTTTGTTACACAGAGTCCCGAGAATCCAACGCCATATGCCACGACCATGATTGTGGGCGCTTCCTCCACGGAGACCACATGCATGAAGACCTCCTCGTCGAGCACTGATCAGGATTCGGGCACGAATTCACCACACTCCGACGGCAATACAGCACAGTGTGTGGGCGCGAATGCGTCTGGTGTGCCAATTGTGGGCAGCGGCAAGCACAACTATCACCCGTATCCACCAGGTTAGTACTGTTTGTGAGCAAATACTTATAAATGTTTGATGTGCTTTTGTTTGGTTTCTTTTTCTAAACTTTCATTTGATTTCAATACTCCATGCTTTATATAAATTTTTACATGTTTTGTGTAATTTTATATATTAAATTGTTGTTCTATATATCATGTGCCATGAACGATTGTTAATACTGGTTTTTGTTTAGACTTTTCTAATTTTCATCTTTTTCACCAAACTTAATCACCTTAAGTTTCAGTTTTAGTTTTGCATGTCACTTTGTAAGATTCTTTTAGTTTTTTTTTCAGCATTTACTTTACTATCTCACTATCTCTAATTGCTGTCTGTCAACTGATACAATTTTTGACTTTTGAACTTTTAATTTCTTGCTTGCTACCTCTTTCTATTCTTCCTTATGTTCGACTAAATTCGAATTCAGCTTAAATTATTTTTCAAAAAAAAAAATATCAAATATTAAAGTGCCTTGTCTTCACTTGCCATTTGGTCATCACTTTGTTCGAACAGTTTCCTTTTTTCTCGTTATTGATATCCGAGCAATACACGCTACTCCCGGCAAGCTTATACAGTTCTAACCCAGTATAACACAGAAGTTGACGTTGAGAATATTCCGAAGTAGTAACTGTGGTAATGTTTTAGGGGATGTGTAACTTAACGAATAAATAATTTTTAAATTTGTTACATAGCTAATAGCTAGCTAGTACGCATATTTTCGTATATAGACAGACAAACGAACGGAGTTCAGATCCAGCTAAATCGACTGAGCTCTCTATATACATACATATGGGGTGGGGTCTCCGACGTTTCCTTTTGGGCGTTAAAAACTTCGGGGCAAGCTTAATATACACTGTTATGGTTATAAATATGCAAGGAAATTAATACAAATGAATAAACCAACAAAATATTAATACGGCGATCCGCCTTTATCCAAGGACACATTCAAGCAATCAAAGTAATTAAGTAATAAGGCGATCTACTGCTGGGTAAATGCAAATTCTCTAACTCTTATTTGCGCACATGTATGTGCCACAGGCATAGTCATTCATTTGGCCGTGTGTGATTTTTATCCGATTTAGCAAAAGATTTACTATCAATTTACGTTTCACTTTATTCTCAACTGACAGCAGCTTTTACTCCGCATCCACTTCTCTCCTGCTTTATTTTCACAAAATGCTTTGTTTTGAGTTTTTTATTTTATTTTTTTTTTTTTATTTTATTTTATTCTTTTTTGCGTTTTTTTAGTTTTACTTATATTTTCTCTTTTATGTTATCACAGCATTCATGGACTGGCTGACATTGCTTTTGTTTTCGCACTCGATTAGATTTGCTTAAAGAGATTTCGGCGTTTTTTGGGTTTCCAAACGATGATATCCTTGCTGCTCCTTATTTCGCTTATTGCAAGCAGTTTTCTATTGTATTTGCACTGCGCGCTTGCATTTAATATCATTTATAGTCACACACACACATATACATCAGCATGTGTGTATTTATATTTTATTTTCAGTATTTCCCTGCAAATCGTGTGCCAACAGCCCGTCGTCTATTGCCGCTGATTGCTATTGACAGCTGCTCAAGTGGCGTGTTGGGGCGATAGATCGGGGCGCACGGCAGTGCTGCTTTGTCCGCTACGTTTCATTCAACTGATTGCATTGTAATTTCAACCCCTGCAGCAAGGATTTGTGGAACACTCTAGCTTTAAGTTTTTTTTTATTATTTTGTATTTTAACTTCTTTTCTATGCTGTGTGGCACTGCGCTCGTGTATCGCCTGCCATTATTATTTCTTGTGTGATTTGTACCGTTTATCCTTCGCTAAGTTGGCATTTCTTGTATTTGCAAAATTAAAAATTCAATTACTTGCGGCAAAACTTTGACTGCATGCCTCACTTTGCTGCTCCTCCCCTTCGTGCCGCCTCGTTCGCTTACGTCCCTTTTTATTTCGCTTGTAATTTTTACTCTGCTTCACCATTTGGCCTTTGAAGTGTTTCCTGTTTCCAAGTGTTAGCTGAGTAGCGGAGCATTGTGCGGGCCTCCATTGTATGCATGTGGCATGTAGAGAATTGTGAGATTGTAAATACTTTGACTGCCAGCCGTTGGCAATTTGCTGCTTTGCCGCAGCAGTTGAGTTGCTCTAGATTTACAGCTGATAAATTGCGGTAATGCCGCATTAGTAATCTGCCCTCAGTACCGCTAAGTACTTTATTTAGTGTCACATTTCTTATGTCGCAAGGAGTAGGTAGTGGCGTAGTTTTTACTGGCGGCTTTGAAGGAATTTAAATTGCTTTGTGGCATCCGGTTTACATATTTCACTAATCTTGATTTGAATATCCTTGTACATACATGCAAAAGTATTACCTAAGCTTAAGGAAGGACAAGATTGAAAGATAAACGATATTCTGATGAGCGAATATGCTTTATTTGAGGTAATCTTGAGCAAAAACTGTTGAATGTATAAAAAAGTTATCGAAATTATTGAAATCAAAAAAAAATTTACTATAACAGACTCATGTCCTCCAGTAGTTGGTCAGAATTACTCATAAAATATAAAAACAAAAACCTCTCTAGAAAATAATTTCGATTAGGTGCAAGCCACAAAAAACTACGTTCCAGAATTAAGAACGAAAGTTGGGTGTATGATACTGTACCGAAATATACCAGGGGCTCATCACAATACTCTTAGGGAGTTTTCAACAAATAAGCTGGTAAAAAGCTTACTCACCACGAAAGCTCTGTAACTGCTAAGCTTTTTTTAACGAAGCTTTTGCTCTCTAAATTTAAGCGAGTATGAAAAGAATGCCGAACTAGGTTAATTTTCTCTGAAGATATGTAATAACACTGGCAACATTTTAGAACTAAAAATATTTGAAAGTGGAAAATCAAATCAAATGAATGATTTTTTATGCCTTTTCAGCAAGTTCCAGCTCATCTGAAGACTTCTAAGCGAACTTGGTTTCGGTTACTAATTCCTGCACGTAATTTCTGCAGTAATTTTCAAGAGCTATTAAATATGCAACTCTTCGTTTCAAGTCGCTTGTTTTATAATTCACCACACTGAACTTTATGCAGTGGTCCAGCTTATGCTACTGCTTTGCCGGCATTAAGTTCTTGTGAGTGTTCGTTTGTCACTCGCTTACTTGAGTCGTATCCTAGAGAATCTGTTGGAATACTCCAAAGCTTATAGTTTGTAGAATTTTTGAAGTCCAACCCATATTGACGATTATTCCAAAGCCTCGGATTTTTTTGGACTTCTCGAAAAATTTTCAGAGTATTTCTAATACTAATACTGGCTTCGCCTTGATATTACGCCTGCGAAAAAAGTAAACCATTGTTGTGTATTAGATATTCCTTTAGTAAATTTATTTACGACAGAATTGTGCTTTTGCTTTTACAGACATTTCCTTAATAGTGTCTTCTATGCAGAATGTTTCAACTATTAGTTAGGCCAAATGCATAGTTTTAGGAGCGGAAAGTATACAACTCCAGCAATTTTAATTGCTATAAAAAGATTTGGAATAAATCTAATTATAAATAAATGAAAAGCTTGTATTATGAGTCTCTTATATGAGGTGATAACTCTGAAAGATACTAAAAAGATAAGTTTCTCTAGACATAGATTTCAAGACATATATTATATTTTAAGGCTGAAATTTTAATTGAAAAAAATTTTTCAAATTAGTGAATATTGTTTTTTTTGGAAATTGCTTCAGTTTTGTTATTTTGAATTGTTACTGGATAATTTACATTTTTAGCTCTACTTCATTAACCATTTTTTACATAATTATTTTTCATGTCATTATGCAACATTTAGATTAAATATTAATTTATTTTAATGAATTGCTTTTGTAAATGCAACAGAATATTGCGTCTAATTCACAAATATTGTCTATATTACAATTTCATGTTCCCTCCAACTTCCGGTTCCTCAACAAACAATTTACGCTCAACCAAATACTTTGATGTTCAATGTTGTAATTATTATTGTGTTTGCTGTAAAAAACTTGAAATAAAAAAATCCAAAACTAACAGAACAATTTAATTGGTCAGAGTTCTTGCCACCACCACCGGAGCATCCACCACCACTGCCAAGCGGCTGTAATGGTGGCGGCACTAATACAGGCGGCGTAATCTACGCGCCCGGTTCACCACAATCTTCACGCAAAAGCTCCAAGAGTGGCGGTTCGGGCATGTCAACACATCAGAGGTAAGTTGCTAATGCTTTGTTGCACGCAGCGCGCGTGATTAATTATTGCTTAACTACAAAGTATTTAATATGATTTTAATTAAATGAAAAATTTCCTGAATTCCTTGCTGCAACAGCGCTTTGAACTCTTCCATACACAGCAGCTCCTCGGGCGGTTTCTCCACGTGGGGTGTGTCACCACAATGCGTTGCCTCGCGGCCAACGGAGAATTACTACAACAATCCTTTGCCCTGTGTGGGCGGCTCACAGAATCGTTACCAGATCACACCGACCGGTCAACATCCACCACCACTGCCACCCTACTTTCCACCCGGTGCTGCGGGCACCGCACAACTACCGCCACGCAACATACATATCCACTACCCGGCGCCCAGGCACGCAATGAGCGAGTACCAGCCCACGGGCACACACAATTCGCGCTGCTCCAATGGACGGTAAGTGCGCGCATCATTGTTGTTACTTTTAATTACACTACCAAATTAACAAAATACACTTAAATTACATTTCGTTTTTACGCTTTCATTTACAGTGCCTGCAATAGCTGCGATGCGCTCGCCTCACCGCTCCAACCGCTGCCACCACCCGGCGACGGCTGGTATCAGCCACTACAGACGCACATGCCGCCGAATGCCGGCGGCGCCAATCCCATCTATCAATGTTCCTCCGAGTGTTCCGATCATTCGCGACATTCACATACGCACACACACGCGCACAACCACCCACACAATCACTTGCATCAACAACAACATCACGGCGCACACATGCACGCGCATCAGCATCATGCGCATGCAACGGCAGCAGCGGCGCACGCGGGCAATGGCAATGACACGCTGCGCTCAGAAAGCAGCCAGGAGGGTGGTAAAGGCAATTATCGTTGTCAGAAGCAAGTAGGCGGCGGCAGCAGTAACGGCGGCTACGCGGACATCAACGAGTCGACGGAGCGCGAGCACATGCTGAAGGGCGTCGTCGGCGGTGGCAATGGCAACACAAGCACGCTGGGCGGCAGCTCGTCCTGCGGTTATGAGGTGCTCGGCGATCACCGGAATTGCAGCGATTGTTGCAGCAGTTCGCGCGAAGGCGACACCTGCTCGTGCAGTGAGGGCTCCTGTTTGTACGCGGAGGCGGGCGAGCCGGCTATGCCGCTGCCGAGCAGCGCACACCTAGGCGGTGGTGGTGACAACCGCGCTGTTATTGCTGCTGGCAAGCTGGTGACGCAGCAGGGCAATTGATATGCGGCCGGCGTGAGTGATGTGGTTATGTACTTTTAGTGGTTACCAACGGTACAGCTGCCAATCTATGAGCATGCTGTAGGCGTTGGACGGTGCAACAGTGAAGGTAACGGCAACATCGGCGCGGCGCTAATTTGTGAGTAGCCTATGTAAGTGGTATGTAAGTTGAAACTAAGCGAATTAATCGTATGTAAGTGAGTAGTTAAGTATATATGTATAGTATGGCCATGTACTGGTGTGCGTGTGTTTGTGTAGATTAAGCTAGTGTTCTAAACGAAGCGCAACGTTGCTTGGCTGTGTGTGTGCATAAAAATGGTTGTGTAATTTTAGGCGCTACCCCAGGGCGCATGACCGCTAACAATGGCGAACATGGCACGTAACCCTGAAAAACATAAAAACAACAACAAAATAAGAAGACAAATATAAATGAAAAACAACAAAACAGAGATTAAAAAGCAGCGCTAGCTGCGGACTGACAAACAATTGCATATATTTTTAGCTTCCAACTTCATTTAGCTACTTCCACAAGGTTCTAAAATAGTCTAATTTTCAAACATTTTACAATGTTGCCAGAAAACCTCCAATTACAACGCACACACCGCCAGCTAGCAGCAACCAATTCTCTTCAAACTTCAACTTTTAGTGTAGTTCCACGCTTTCTCGCGTGACTGCCACACATTTTGCAAGCCAACAGCGCGTCACCAAAACCATTTGCAAGCACGAATGCGGGACAGAGCAACTTGAATAGCACCCTTAATGCCTGTTTATACTCGAAACCACCTTAGCTCCATTTAGTAAACGCTATACTTCGGCATACCGACGCGTCAATTTAAAAAATGGCTACCTTTCAGCAGCGACTGCTTGCTACAATTCAACGCCAATTGACGACAATTTTCTTTGAAATGCCAATAGTCACAAATGTTCATAAATAAAACTAAATTATTCCGCCGTCTGATAGTCAGTACGCCAAATAAATGCAGCGCTTGTTACCAAGCGCTCTTTTGTTAGGCGCTCAAATTTATGTAACTCATGCTTATACCTATACTCTTATATACCCTATATAAATATATAGCTATGCTATATAATACAACATGTCAATATGTCTAAACATGTCATGCTCCGCATGCTTGTTGCAACAAGCACGAACAAAATAGCGTTTTAGCAGCAGTCTCAACATGTTCTTTGTACTTGCGCCTAAAGCTATGCTATGAAAAATGCCACAATCGTTTAACACGCAATTTCCAATGTCTACCCACTTTGTGTTTATCCTGCGCTATTAAGGCAACGACTTCCTCCTTACACCGTTTTCTTTTCTACTTTGATTGCCAGTAAGCGCGTTTTGTCTACAATCTATCATAGTGCTAGTATAAATCTAAGGCAATGACGGTATAAAAGCGAAGTTTATGCACCAATAAATTACCGAAAGCGGTGATAAATGATTGCTTCACCCGAGCTTGTGGCTGGTTGGCAAGAGTTTTGGTTGTTGAAGGTTGAAGGCGGCATGAAAAGGCAGCAGAAGCAGTTTGTTTTCTATTTTTGAGTATTTAATAATATTTTATAACTTCTCTAATAAATAATAAACTGTGTCATATGGTTGTTATTCGTTTTGGAAGCTAAGAAAAACTTTGTCCTACATGCTACGATGCGGCTGTTGACTTAACAGCGGCTCGCCCGATTACAGTGTTTATGCAGAATACTTGTATACTGTTGTTAGAAAAATAGTTGGTTTTTTAAGTTAAATTTATTTCATATTTTAAAATGCTTCTGAAATTATTGATTTTTTAATTTCATATAATATTCGCCTATCGCTGTTATTTAAACATTTTCTGTTAAAATTTACACTGATTGTTAAACATAACAGAATTATTTTACTTAATTTTATTTTTCTTTCCAAAGCGTAAGCTCTAAAGCTCTAGAAAATGAGTTTCTTCTGGGAAAGCGTTTAAATTTTTTATCGAAATTTTTTATCTTATTTAATTTCAGCAATTTTCAAGTATAAATTTTTTATCGTTTTTTTATAGTTTTTAGTTGACTAGTTTTTCACATACATATATATGACGATTTTTTCACAAATTACGTTGTTGATGACAATACCTTTCATAAACTATTGATTAGTATTTTCCATAAATTTTACCCACTAAAATATATACAATATATTTAATGCAAAATCATTCAAAAATTTATTTAAAAATTATTTAACAAATTTATTTTAAAAAAAATCAAAATATTTAATGAAAAAACATTCAAAAAATAATTTAAAAATTTATTATAAAAATTTTTATGTAAGAATTTTCTTATATCTTAAAAAAATCCTATACATATTTTCAATTTATTTTCATTCTTTACTGTTATAAATTAGGTTTTATGAATATGTTTTTTAAATTTTTTTACAAATTGCCATTTTTTAATTTTTTTTAAATTTTTGTCTTGAATATTTTTAACATTCGGTAATTTTTTTTTAATAGTTTTATAAAATTTTTTCGATTAACTTTTTTTTGTAAATAATTTTTTAACTCTTTTTTTTAATTTTTTTTATTTATTTAAAATTTACTTACAACAGTATAAAATCTTTCTTTTATGTATCCCTAAATTACAGCACTTGCTCTACTGTTGGAGGTTACGTAAAGGTTAACAGTTAGAGTTAGAACTTTTTGTAACGACATGACATTGAAATAAAATATTTAAAAAATATTTCCAACTTTGTATTCAAGAGGATACAAATTTTTCAAACCAACTGCCATATTAATCTATATACATATATACGCATATGTTACAAATTATGCCATAATAGTTTACGAGTATTTGATACAATAACAAATGCATTTATTCCCATACTGACAAATACATATACAAAAAAAAAATATTGATACAAGCAAGACTCACACAAATAAACTGAAAAGGAAACTGCCAACTTCAATACGAAAGCTAAAAATATTATTTCGAAAACCAGATTTTTCAAAAAAGTATGCAAATTGTTAAATCTGAAATTTTTTTTTTAATTTTTTTTAAAATTTTTTAGCCAAAAAAAATATAAAAAAAGTATTAAAGATCAAAATTTCTCAGAAGCCGTATGAGATTACGTCCACATACTTCAAGGACATACAGTAACTTCACAGTGAATAAAAAAGCACAGGGTCTTACACTTAAAATTAATACATGTATGTATGTGTATGTGTGTGATAAATAATATTAATATTTACTAAAAATTACGATGTACAGATTTCATATTTTTGGCGGAAGCCGAAAAACGAACAATTGAAAACGCAAATACGTACCGAAATTAGTGAAAATCGAAGAAAAATATAAACAAAAAAATTACAGCCACACATTTGTAGATACATGAAATAAAAATAAAATAAAATTATAATCAAATCCGAATGTTATATAAGCAAGTTTTAAAAAATTTGTGTTGTAAAGTGTAAAAAACGAAAAAAGTTCACATAATTTCTTATTAAATGTGTACGTGTTCAGACATTACGTGACTTTCACCGAAATTCTTTGTGTAAATGAAAACAAAAAAGATAAATTCACTAAAATGGTTGCTGTTTCAATGATTTCGATCAGTGCGTTCACTGTAAAATAAATGAATTGAAATAAAATAGATAATAGAATACAATAGAAAGAGAACAGTTTCGAATGCCGTTATGGCACAATGCGCCTGCGCTGGAGCCTTTTGTTTTGTAAAGTTGTATATAATGGAACAAAAACGAAAATGAAATGAAATTTACGAGCATAAAACGCATACAATGACGAATGGTTAGTGGCTACCTACTTTAAATGTAACTGTAATTATAACACTCAGCTATTGACTCTCCATTACTTACTACCACATACTTGCAAGTGGTAATGCGTATATTTTTTCGTAGCGCGAAAAATTTTGTAGAAAGCCATAAAAATGTTTGAAGTTGTGCAAACTTAAATTTAGATTTTAAGACTTATTTCGATGGATTGTCTTTCAGCAAAATTTTTAAAGCGATTACACTGTTATGTTTTTATCAGTTAGCTGCTGTCTGTTTTGTTTTCGAATTTTCCGAATCGTTTTAAAATAAAATGCTGAAATTAGGGATAAAAATGTAAAATATTTTTTTTTCGAAATATAAAATCTCTAGATTTATCTAATACATAAATATATACCGTAGAGGTTTACAAAATAACAAAAAGCAGCAAGTAAAATGGAAAAAAAAGCTTTTAAATGATTGTTTTTTTTTTTAACTTTAGTGCACGATTTAATATCAAGTATAATTTGACAATTTCTATCGAATTTTTATTTCGATAATTTTCTTAAATAAATGCAAAATTTGTCTTATAATTATTTTTTAGTTTTCTTAAACAAAACTACTTTAAAAAATCTTTTTTTTTTAATTTCGATCCAAAAATTATTCTAATATACTAATAATGCATATGTTATTTTGTTGAATTTTTTTTTCTTTATAATTTTAATACATAATACAAGCTAAATTCTTTACACAATTATAGATTTGACTTTTTTTATTTAAGTGCAAGTTTATGTTATACGTCTAAAAATCAAAATAATTCCAAAAAAAAAATTAATAAATTTTAAAATTTTTAATATTTTCGATATAACTACATTAATTTCAATACACAACAATTTAAATTTAAAAATGCTTACAAACACACTCCGGAAATAAATTTTCTAATTTGTTTTTCAATCTTCGGCCTTTATTTCTTTAATTTAAACAATTCACAGCTATTTCAATATACCCATTTAAAAAAATATATATATTTTCCGGTGGTTGGCTTAGTGTGAACTTCGTATAAAAAATCTATCAAATTAATTAATATTTTCAATTTTTTTATTTACCAACTGACCACTATAGCATATAGCTGCCATACAAACTGAACGGTCGGAATTAAGTTCTTGTAAGGAACTTTTTGTATTTGTAAAGGGTATTATAGCTTCGATGCAATTGAGGTTAACGTTTTTTCTTGTTTAGTTATTTTTTAATAAGTTATATAAATTTTAATTTTTTTATACTTTTAATATAATGTCTAATATATTTTTATTTTATAATTATTTGACTGAATTTCGAACTTTTTAGTTTTTCATAACTAAATTTCAAAAATTTTATTTTTGCTCAAAAAAGATGGTTTTGAAAACTATTATGCCTATTTTGGATTTTACACTTAATTTTTTGTCAGTCTTGCTTAAAAACCAAATTTTTACGACTCTTTTTAAAAACATGCATAGTTTTAGTTCAATTCTATATATATTTTTTTTTTAACTGTATATACCTATAACTTAGTTAAATTATTTTTTGAACACATTGTCAAATATTTCCATATTTAAATCTATATTACTTTTATTAAGTCTAAACATCTTGAAAACGACCACATTTCCGACAACAACCATTTAAAAAGTTTATGATTTTTACTAATAAAAAATGTACCTGTGATATTGCATATTTCATTACAATTGAACGAGTTGTAATTTCATTATTATACGACTACATGAATTCTACATATTATGCGCAAAGGAAAGTAATAAATATAACAAAAAAAAAAACTTATAAGCAGACCTAGACGATAGTGTTAAGAAAATTAGCACATAAAATTAAAATTAATTTAAAATTAGTTACGCATGTACATACATATAAATACACAGATGCATGTAATTAAGTCAGAAAGTGGCGAATTCGGGCGTAATTAGCAGTAATTAGCGAAATAGAATGAAAAATCTGTAATTTTAAGAAAACGAAAAATAATAATTATTAAATAATTTTGAAAATTAAAAACTAAAATAAAAGAGTTAAATAACATTACTATACAAGTATAACATTAATATACATGTAATATAGTATAATAACATTAATAGCATAAATATGTATGAAAAAAGTCTGCAAGAAACCCCACTTATTAAAACTAAAACTTTAAAAATATATATGTGTGCATGTGTGCGTGTGAGCGCTAAAACATCAAATTGAATTCATTATTATGCATTTTAATTACCCAACTAAGCTAATGAATATTAATTGCAAATAATTTACTTAATTTAGTGCATTGTTAAATACTTTAAAGCCGGCAGAAAGCTGACAAATAGCCACACATGCGTCTTTGCACGCACACGCTTATATAAAAGTTTATTTTTTTTCTGCGCCAACTTTTAATTACTGTGTGCTTTCTCATTACCAGCACAACTTAATTCCAATGCATTACGCTGACATTAATTTTGACTTTTAATCAAAAGTTTCTATGAAAAAAGCACTGAAAGCTTAAATATTGACAAATTTAATCAAATTGCAATTATTTTTAATGTTTTTTAATTATTTGTGCTACGTTAAGCGGCACTTAGCGTTAACAAATAAGCAGCTACAACAACAATAAAGCGTGAAATATTAGTGAAAATCAAGAGAAAAGTATATATGCAGATATATATATATATATATAAATATGAAAGTATATAGTATATATTAAATAAATAAACGAAAACTTAAATAAAGTAGAGACACACACACACACACACAGCAGAACGTTACACGCGAGACGTGCAACATTTGAACGCTAACTGCGGCTGTTCTCAGCTGCATTTAGGCAACATTTGGTCGCCATAAAAAATTGTGAAAAATTTATTTTAAAAAATTAGCATAAATAAAATCTGCAGTTAAATCTATATACATATATACTGATTCATATGCAAATTCTTTGTGTTTAACGGTGAATTTAAGTACCCTTAAGCATATTGAGCGGGTTTTTTCTGCTGCGCTTCAAATGTAGCGCAGCACAACGAATTTTTTTACTGCCATCCAGCAAAAAGCTAATTTAAAATGTATAGCATTTCGATTGCCAATAACTGTAAATGTACATATATTATAAATATTTTTATGAAAGTAATGTGTGTTAATGAACTGAGCACAATTTATGGCGAATTAATAATTATTAATTCGTTTTTTCACTACTTTTATATTGCTCGTTGGAGTTTTTTATTTATATGCATGTGTACATATTTATATACATGGTGTATATGAAGCGACCACATGTATAATATTTATGTGTTATGTAACGGTATTGTATATTAGTAGTAATTAAGGCAGTGAACAAGCCGATTTGAGTGTAAATTTCGAATGAAAAATGTTAAATATAATTAATTAGTAACTATAGCGGTAATGTTAAGTGTAGTTTTACATGTAAACTTAAATATATATAAGTACATATAAATATTAGTTCTAATTATATAAACAACTAACTGTTAATGTGTGTTGGTATTTAACTAGTTGTATAAAAGGAAAGATGAAATTGCTTACAAGAGTAACCTTTAAATAACGTGATGTAATTAATTATTGCAATTATAATTAATGTCATGTAATATATTAATTAATTAACGCAATTATGATAACTCTCATGTAAGTAATAAAATAATTAATTAATGTAATTATAATAATGGTCATGTAATTAATGAATTAATTAATTAATTACATTATATTAATTAATGTCATATAGTTAATTAATTGATTAATTTGTTTATGATAAAAGTTAAGTAATTAAGTAAATAATTAATTCATTAATTAACATAATTCTGACAAATATAATGTAATTAATTTAATAATCAGTTAATGTGATTACATTATATGTATAATGATTAATTTATATAATTACATTAATAATAATTACATCAATGTTATGTAAATGTAAAGTAAAAATAAAAATAATAATAGGAAAAATACGAAAGAGTTTAAATTTTATAGAATAAGTTCTGAAAAGTGAAAAGTATGTAACATAGATTTGGAAAAAAAATGTATAATCAAAATAAAGAAACGAATGAACAGATTAATGTAATGAAAGAAAACTGAAGCGAAAAAATACATATTTGCCATGATTAGCGTAGAAAAAAACGAAAATAATTATAATATAGAAACAGAAAAATTAACAAAAAAAAAAAACAGAATTACAAAATAAACATATTTGAAAGCTAAAAAAAATATATATTATAAAAATTTTTTGTGAAAAAAAAATGATATAAAAAAAAAGTTTCAAAAATTAAAATTGTAAAAATTTAATAATAATATAAAAAAATATGAAGAAAATATGATAAGAAATTAAAGCAAAAAACTTCAGTAAAAATGAATTTAATTAAAATGTATACAGCAAACTCTACTACTAAGTACTCACATAAAAAACATACATACATACTTAAATTAGTTATACAACAACAAGTATGCATACATATATAATTAAATATGATAAAGGAATATTTAAGTGTATTGTTTAAGAGTAAAAACTGTCACACTCACACCCTTAAATGTTAATGTATGTATGTATTACGCAGATAAATGGCATTTCAAACGACAACAAATAAACGAATTATGTATGTAATTAACATGAAGTTGTGTAACAAATAGCAAACAAATAAAAAGTAATAATGAATTTACCTATAAAACAAAAAAAAAAAAAAATTTAATAAAATTATTGCAAATACAAATACGAATCAGAAATAAATTGAATTAGCATGTTTATTGCGCGTTTTTAGTGGCAATATTTAAAAAACACATGCACACATACTCAAGTATGCATGTGCATAAGAATGCTGTTAAGCAAAAGCAGACGCAAAAACTGAAACAACAATAGAAAGGCAGCGAAAACCCACGAGCAAATAGCGCATGGCAGACGTCAGACAATTGCAACAACAAAAAAAAAATTTAGAAGCTTTTTTTATGTTACTAAATGAATGGTCAATAACTGTAAACGGCATTACAATTAAAATAAATAAATTAGCTATTTGTCATGTAAGGAAGGAAAAGCGAAAATGTGCAACGTAAATTTGATTACATATAAATGAAAAAAAAATAACAAAAAACAATATAAACATTAAGGAAATTAAAGCTGTGGGCCATAATCAACAACACATTTGTGTAAGTGGCATTTTGTTGCAGCCCAGAAAATTGAGGTTATGTAGAAATTGAAAGTGTACTGAACAATAGAGAGCACTTAAAATGCAGTAAGCAAAAGTAATGCAAATAAATAAAGAATATAAAACAACTATTAATTTAATTTAATGATAAATATGAAAGAAAAAAACTAAATATTAAAAATAAAATTTTACATGAGATGTGAATTTAAAAAAAATATTAAAA